TGGTGTGTACTGTGGTTGTAGCCGATGTGTCTCTCCCCAGTGCAGTTGGGAAGAGTGGGTGGAAATGGGATCCTGATGGGCTGTGTGTCTTTCCCCTGCAGTCAGCTGCCCACTGCTGCTGTTCTGGCCCCTCGTGCGCGAGTCGCGGGGCAACAGGAGAGCCCGCGGGGCACAGGGGGATGACGAAGCCGTTATGGAGATGAAGCTGAGGGAGAATCCCGAGGGTTTCTCGGCTGCGCTGCTGCAGCTCGGCATGCGCTTCCTCCTCGTTCACGGCGTCCAGGTGAGCCGAGCTGAGCAGAGGCGTTCTCTGCACCGGCCACAGGCAGCCGGGAGGACCCCACTTCTTTGTGCTCCCACAGTCAGCCTGCAAGCACCTCAGTTACTTACAGGCCCATCGTGTGTTACATCATCTTTAACGGGTCTCTTATTTCTAAGGCTCCGCACAGTGTAAAATGGGATTGATAAAATATGGTCTCAGGTTTAAAAAAGTGATTTTGTCAATTTCAGATTTTTTAAAAAATCTATTGTGTCCATTTCTCTGAGAGCAGTGTGGGCTATGTCATCTCTCAGTGTATCATTCAAAAACCAGGGTTTTTCAGCTTGCCCTGGGGCAATCGAAAATGAGCAGCAGTGCTTGAAGACCATGTTTGGCTCCTGTTACTGGAGCAGAAACAGTAGTACATTACTGTGCACTAGTGAAAGACAGAATGCCTGTAGATCCGTCGTCATGACCTTGTCATTTCAGTGCTGTTGGATCTGCGGCTGTTTTTGCTTGTACTTAAAACTATAACTACCTTAAGATGTGCCAAGCAGTTATCTCTAACTTACTTCAATGCAGGCAGCCCATCTATCACTTGATTTCACTTTAGGGCTGAAGTAGTACTATATGATGTTCTGGGTTATTAAAAGCACAATCTGGGAAAATCTGTGCAGGTTGTCAGGCGTTATTGCAGAACCAAAAGGTTTTTAAAAGCTTAGCATTATTAGAATAGCTGCATTCGGTGTTGCCTATCAAATGTATATTTAAAGGAGATGGTAAAGGAAACCAATAGAAACATTTTGGTTGTGTTAGAAGCAGGAGAAACATCTCTCTCATTGTGTCTTGGTAAATGAAAGGTCTGATTTTTTTTTTCCTTGCAGCTGTTGGCCTCTGTCTGTGCAGCAGCTGTGCTCAGGAGGCATTTGATGGTCTGGAAGGTGTTTGCACCCAAGTGAGTTTTCTCAGATCTTGACATGTATGGACGCCTCATGGTGTCTGAGTGCTCCGTTTATAGGGGTCCGTTCTCCATTGTTTTCTGTGTTTCGTCTTGGAAACAGTCTTCAGCTTTTGAAGAAGTGCTTGTTGACAGGAAAAGCCAGAACAAGAGCTTTGCCATATTCTCAGCTCCTAGTAGAAGTCCAAGCTCATTGTCCGACGCTGGATTGTGACTTTGCAGCTCCTTGAGAAGGATTTGCTGTAGTTCAAGCAGTGAGCTGCTTCAGCTTGTGATGTACAGGTAATTTACTTCTATATGATTTTGAGGTTTTGAAATGGTATTTCCACCCCCCACTCCCACGTCTTTTATCTGCAGGTTAATGTTTGAGGCCTTTGGATTCCTGGTGACCAGCCTGTTTGTCCTGCTGGGCTTTGCTTTCGTGATGCGAGTGGACGTGGCCGTGACGGGCTGGTTTAAGCGCCTCGTTCCAGACCTCTCTAGATAGCCCCGACCGTGAGTGTGCCAGGGGCTGCCCCTTCAGAGCCAGCCCTCAGGGCCCTAGAGCGGACAGGCGGACAGAGAGGCCAAAGTCGAGTCCAGGAGGCGTGGTTTCTATGCGAGACATACAGGGATCAAGCCGAGCGCATTCTGAAACGCCTTTCCCACCCTGGATAAATCGTGAGGCCTTGCCGAATGACATCTTTGGAACCAGCTCTTCAGGAAACCGGGCTGGCTTTGAAGTCTGTCACATTGTTCCTTCCTTCAAGCTCTGTATGAGAACGACCGGTGTATCATTTTAAAATATAGCAACTCAAAACCTTGGAGTTGGAACAAAAAGCTACGGAAGCTGGCGATTTTACTGTGTTAACTGCACGGCGTTGTCTCCTCAGCACTGTAAGGCTTCATCCTCTACTGGCCTCCTGCTCTTGAACCACAGCATGGACTGCCATGCACAGGTGAGCCACACCCTCTTCACCGAGGCTGGGGTAGATGAGGCTGGCCCCTAGTGTGCCTTTACTGACCAGAACCCGGAGATTTCACTGCTCTTTGGACTTTCCAGATGTTGGAAGTTGGAAAAATAAACTTATCAGTCTAAGGAAAGACAGAGGGACACTAAAGTAGGACAAAAACATGTGCCAATTCTGCTTTTAAAATCCTAATGTCATTTGCTGTTTTTCTAATTTTGCACAACACTAGTTTCATAGCTCTCCTGTGGTTAACAGTCACTATAAAGTTAACTGGTTTTCTCAAACACTGCTTGAAAAAAGTAAGTTTTAAGAATATGAAAAAGGAAATTTAAAGATTCCTCCATTTTAACTGAAAGGATTTTGGAAGTTAGGTCCTGCGGAATAGAAAAGTGGCTTTTCACAGCGTTTTTTTCTGGATTGCTGCGGTGATACAAATATCAGGAAAACTGTGTTTTTAAAACTTGTAATGGAACTTGCTGGCGTTCTGCTAAAGAACATCTTGTTTCAAATGTTACTGAAACATACAGGTAGTGGACAAAAAATGGAAACACCAATGTAAAGTCACTTAATAGGGCACTAGGCCACTCCCTGCAGTCAGTATGGCCTTTATGTGCTGGGGCACAGAGTCTGCCAGCGTCTGAAGGTCTGCAGAGGGATGAACACCATGATAAAGGTACATCAGCTCATGCCAGGTGCAAAATGCCATTCCTGGCCCCATTCCAGATGGTCCCATTAATGCTTTGTTGGGTTCAGATCTAATGACTGAGAAGGTCATTGACATACAGAGTAGCTAACATCACTATCATGCTCATCAAACCACTGGTTGACCATTCATGCTCTGTGGATGGGGGCATTATCATCTTTTAAGGGACCCTTTCTAGCAGGAAAGAAATGCTGCAACATCAGGATAACAGTGATCACTATTAAGTAGCTATTAAGCACCATTAAGTAGCGATTATCATTCACCTCGCCTTCTCCAGGAAGCAGTGCCCCCAAACCCGACATCTGACCGTATTGCATTATTCCACCGCTCAGTAGTACGTTGCCTCTGCTCTTTGCTCTGCTGGACTCACAAACATGCATGAACAGATGTGATCTGATCCCACTCTGCAGAGTTCTATGCGGAATGTTTTCTGATAAATCTGGCTGCTCATAACCCCAGGTTGATATTCGTTGTGCAGGTGCTCACTTGTTTTGCCTTGCCTTTCAAATGAATGCACCAATGTCTCTGTCCACTGTTGCCCCTTGCTGATGTCTTTCCCTCAGACTTCAGTGCTAACGTTGCCTTAGACATAGTTGGGCAGTGCGGCGGCTCTGTGGCTCAGGATCTGCACCTGTGGCTGAAAGGTTGCAGGTTCAAATCCCGCGGCCGGCAGAGGAATCCTCCTCCATTGAGCCCCTGAGCAAGGCCCTTAACCCCAGCAGCTCCAGGGGCGCTGTACAACAGCTGACCCTGCACTCTGATCCCAAGCTTCTCTCCCTGATTCTTATATTATTCCAAATATAAGAAATTGGATATGGCCAATAAAGTGATCTTATCTTCTGAAACATAAGCGAGATGAGCTGTCTTAGTTACTGAAACTCCGACGAACTCGCCAACAATCAAATCACCTATTGCAGCCAGATTTACCTTATGCATGAGTATACTTAGTTCTCATGTTCCTTGGTGTTTCTTTTTTTTATCCACTAACGTTATGGAATAACTTTCTGGGATTTTTAAATATACCTAGGAAAGAAATAATGCTTTTAAAGTTAACTAGAGTCTTGAATTTAAACACCTCAAATGGGAATTTCAGGTTTGATTATTTTAACTGTAATTTTTCTCATTTTATTTTTAAAATGTTGGAATAAATTATTTCCAGCCCTGTTGTAAATGGTGTAGCATAGAGAAACCTTCTGTCGTCATGGCTGCAAAACTCTCACACCTAAAAAACAATTGCTACTGGTCCTGTGTGTTGTAGGAGTGACTTTTTAAGTCAGTGGCTTAGTAGTTTTCATCCTGCTCTGTGTTTTCCTGATCAGTAGGCACCCAGTTGTACTTGTGGTTTCCAAAAGATTTGCTCTGTTCACTAATTGTTAATTTTGCTTCAGATCAGTCTTGGAACACGGGAATCAGTAATTATGGTTCTTGTTTTAGACATTCCAAAGAGGAGTGTCCTACTTCTCTTTTCAGCAAAGCTTATATAGCCTTTCACATTGGACAGAAAGAGATGAGGGCACCACAGATGTGTCATCTGAGACATATGAATTTGACCTGTTTACAAGAGGAAACACCTAAAACATTAAGGCACAGTTCTGACTAACAGCACCCATCCTTTCAGCCTTTCACCTCAATACGGTTGCCACAGGTATCTGGTATTCTGAGGGCATCAGCCACTCCATCCCTGTAAACACAGGAAGCTCTCGGGTGTGAGTTTGCAGGGCTCCAGTTACATTAATTTATTATATTAACCATTATCTCCTAGTGAACACTTCTGTGAAAAAGTGGTCTTTTACAAACTATTATTATTGCTTTAATATAGGTAGTTGGATTGGATACATTTCTTTTGCAATAAAAAAAAAATTGTAACAATTTATTTCAAGGCATCTGGAGACCAGCGTTGGTGCACTCTCCTGTAGAATTTATTTGTTATTCTTTATTTTAAAGGTGTGAATGAAAATGAGTTAAACCTGAACTTATCGGTCATACTCAATGGGCATATAAAGCTAAGCAAGTACTGAAGTGTAAAACTATGCCAGTATACTGAAAAATGCTTTTCTGTTGTTTTTTTTTAAAAAGGAAAGAGTCAATGCACTATACATCTCCTAGTAAAATGTTAACTGAAAACTGAAAACACCGTGGAACACATGACACACATTTTTGTGTGTAAATATTGCAGAAGTCTAGATATTGGAGAGACGGAAATCCTAACACTTCCAAAATATGGTTGTAAAAAAGATGTGTGTGAGACTTCTGCAGTCCAAACCAGTGGTTGGCTAATGCTATACACAGTTAAAGGCAGTAGCTTCAATATTTATTGGGAGAGGGACATAATTCTAATAAAGACCAAAAATTATGATTGTTTTTCATTTTCATCTTTAATGTAATTGACATCTAAAAAAGCTTTTAAATCTTATAAATTGAGAGCAATTAAATAAGATCTTTTCTATTACATCTTGATTTTTCTTTTAATGACCAATACTGTGAAATGTTCTTTTTTTCACATGTTCTGTATTTCTTGGAGGTTTATGATTAAAATCTTAAGCATCTAGCAAAATAAAGATGCCTTTGGTAAAATATGATGCATAATGAAAAGTGTAAGCATTGGAGTGAAAATGGTCATTTATGATGTGTGATAATGAAATGTATTTTAGATGAACTCGCATTAATGTGTGTCAAAAGTACAGAATGGCAGACTTGTGAGAATTTTTTTTAATACAGGAGCAGGAGACCACCTTTATTGAGCTCCATACATACAGCAACACAGCATGGGTGACCTGCAGGACTAACTGCTAACAACTCTTTTCATACAGTATAGCCTCACGTAGTACATGGCTGGTTGATTTATTCCAGGCTCAGGTGCTTTTCCTCCTGTTCTTTGGATTTAATCACTCCTTCTCTTAACAGCCTTCTTAGCAAAGCTATTACTATTGTTTTTACAAAGTCAGTTCTTATCATACTTCAACAGATCTTGAGGCAGTTTTGGTGACTGGTACAGAGCTGCATAGCTAAGTTAACATATTTTTTAAAATTCCAGTAATTATCCCATACATTCCATTACACAATTAAACACTACCACTGTAACATTGAATATGTGTCAATATATTTGTCCTGCTTCAGTCATTTTTTGTTCCTGGGTATTATTTTGCATGCAGTTTAACCACGTTCGAACAATGCGATTTGCAGTGTTCAATCCCCCAGGTCACATGAGTTTAAGTACTGTTTTGGAACAAAGGGCAGACAGGTGTTTCTATTTACAGATTCCCTGTTGCATTAGTTGTGAAAAGAAGTGTGAACGTACAGTATAGCCTTGGTTCCAGCCTTTTGTTTGCTTTTTGGGTCTGCCTCAAGTTAGAAGACATCAATCAAGGTGAAGACTAGAGGGTTGAGTATAATGGAAAAGCAAAGCACTTGTGTTTAGTTTAGTGGAAAGAAAATTCCAAATGGAACACATGGAGATTGGGAATCACAAAATTAATCATGTGGAATGCCCTAAAAAATGGGAGTCATAGGTAATCGACAAAGGCCAGGTCATCTAAGGGAGACAACAGCAGCTGATGACAGAAAAAGCATTAGAACAGAAAAGCCCTCAAGTAACAGCCAAAGAGGTTGCAGTCAGTCTCCAGAGTGGACGTATTTCAGTTCACTGCGAGTTATAAGTGCTGTACGGCAAGGTCTAAACCTCTCATCGGCACTAAAAACAGAAAAGGTCAGGCTCAGAAGTTTTCAAAGCAATGCAATGGTGAGGCACAACAGGGACAGACGGGATGAAGATAAACCTGAAAGTGACCGAAGGGTGGAAGTGTGGGGAAAGAGAGAAACTGCAAATAATCCCAAGCACACCCTTTCATCTGGGAGGCCATGGATTGAGCATGCAAGGCTGCCTGGGACTGGCTCACTGGTCTCTATTGATGATGTAACTGATGATAGCAGCAGAATGAATTCTGAACTGTACAGAAACATTGAGTCTGCCCATGTCAACAAACATGCCTGCAAACCCACTGGTGGCAATTCTCCATGCAGCAGGACTGATTTAAAACCCCACACCCACCTTTAACCAGGGAGTTCATCAGGAAGAAGTGGAACTTTTTTTAACTGGCCATGACAGTTCCCCGATTGGAATGCTATTGAGCATACGTTTTACTTGTAGAAGAGGCAACTAAGGTCAGAAACGAGGCTTCAGTTAAAGCTTGGCAAAGCATCTCACAGGAGCATGTCAGGAGTCTGGGGATGTTGATGGATTGCAGACTTGACACAGTCTCTGCATGCAAGAGGTAGGTGACCAAATACTAACTTTACAATCATTTCATTCACTTAACATTAATTTGTCCCAATTCTTGTGCTCATCTAAAATGGGGGAATTGAATACAAACCATTTGTGTTCTTACATGGATAACCTGTGTGCACAAAAATCTCCAGAAATGAAAGGTGACATTGTGTACTTCTACATAGTTGTACGTAGTTGTCTTTTGGTCTGAAATCCAAATTTTAGTTTTGCACCTCAAAAATGACAAATTTTACTTCACTGTCCCAAATCTTATGCTTTTTACTCCCTATACAATGTAAAAATTGTAGAGTGACAATGTGCAGTCTTAAACTAGATGTGGCGTAAGAGATTTTGTGTTTTACAAAACTGTGTTGCAAGTAAATTCATGTGGACGTGAAATGAGGTGCTGACCTTGGCAGTCCCCCGAGAAACACCACACTACCATGGACAGCAGTGTGGCCAGGCAACAAACTGTGGCTCACCACCACCAGGTGACAGTTCCCACTGTCACTCTAGAACTTCTCTTAGATTACTAAATTGCTAGTCATTATATCCAAAGCCACACACATGTGCACCCATTTATACTGTACAGCTGTGTGTTTTAGTAGAGCAATTCAGGTGAAGCACCTTGCTCAATGGTGCAACAGCAGTGTCTCAGCTGGGATTTGAGCCCACAACCTTTCAGTTCCAAGTCCAGAACCCTGATCACTGCTGCCCAGGGTCTAGGTGAGGACGTTGAGGGAGCAGGATCTTGGAGAGGTGTGGGAAGAGTGCGGTCAGACAAGGAACCCGTCACTGAATGGATGCCTGGGTTGTGACTGAACTTTTATTAGGATCATGTCCATCCTCTAGGTCCCTCTAAAGCTGTACTATTTGTGTTTCAGCCCTTCAGTGTGTAATCTATTGTTTGTAAACTAGCGAAAAACCAGCGGATGCTCTTGTCAAGGAAGATGTGTATGTCTTTTTTCTTCATCTCCTCTGCAGTTTATAAACGGAGATAAGGCGATTCTTTATACATTTGAACTGCAAAATAATACAAGGGGCGAAGCCCTTATTGCAAGTTATTAAAAGTGTTTTTTACATTCTATATCAAACAAGGAGGCACTTAAAAAACATAAGACATAGAAAGGCAGCTTAAATTATTGAAATATCAATACACCAATACCAATAAAGTCGATCTTTTGGTGTGGATGCAGTAGGAATGCACCAGTTCCAGGCAAGATGTCCTCTAGATCACCTCCTCTAGTGTGTGCGCGGCGCCCTCTATGGTTTGGATGACTATAGTGAGGTGCCTGTGGACCTGGTCCCAGTCGCTGGCTGAGTCCGTGCTCACAGCGCGAGCAAAGGCGTCGGCAAGCCCAGGGAAGGTGACCACCCCAGAAGACCTGGAGGCCCAGATCACATGTCTGCCAATGACACGGAGCACAGGAAGTTCAACGGGCCGGGCAGGGTGCAAGCAGGAACACAGTGGGATTCCCAGATGCAGGTTATTCTACCACACAACCCTTGTCTGTAAACCCTAAGAGTGGAGCTGTTTCCTTTCGTTTTGACACTTCAGCTCGAGTTTTTCCAATGTGTACACAGGAAGGATTCATAACTTCATAAGAACTCTCGGTGTCCTATAGTTTTTAGAAATGTATGGTTTTGAATATGTGATTCATCTTTTCATTAGTTTAACGCCAAAGAAGCACTCCCTTCAGATGTCCTCAAACATACTGTACACAGGTCAAATGCCTTGTTTAGAAAAGAGTGCGTGCAACGACGATGCAGGCAGCAGAAACACGTGTGTATCCAGGAGATCACTGCAAGATCTAGATCCTCAAGACCTTCAGTCTTGTTGCTTCGTAAGTTATTGATTTATTACTTTTATATTTTAAATGGATTATCTCATCCCAGGAAACTTTGTATAAATAGCTACAGTAGCAGGTGCTTCTCAACCCTGGTGCCACTAATATTTCTGCTTTCCCAGGAGAGCTCCAGCGAGATTTAAGAAAGCTGTTCTGTGCTGAGATGAGACTTGGCTTGCTGGAGCCCATCATATCCCAGAGGGAAAGGGGTCAAAACAGGACCATGCCCTGCTTTAGATCTTGGTCTGTCAAAATGCACACACAGGGAGAATTTAGAAGCGCCAGCTGACCTAACCAGTATGTCTTTGGGTGGTCTGTGTAAACGGAGATCCTGGGGAAAACCCACAAGGATCCCCACACAGAACTCGAAGCCAGGTCTCACACGGTATGAGGCAGCAGCACTAATTGCTCTTTAGTTCAGAAGATGGATAAATATCAGATCCTAAGAGATTGTATTGTAGCACCCTCGCCGGGTGTCCAGGCGGATGCACACACGGCTAATATATGAAGAACTGAGGGTCCGCAGGTCTCCCGTCTCTTCCCAAGACCCGTATCCACCCTGAGCTCATCTACGTGTTCCCATTGCTGCCCTTAAAGCTCACTGATGGAGATTTTTTTGGTCTTTGTTGCCTGGTTGCTGGTGGACAGAGGTCTGTAACATAGAGTGCGTATGCTTGCCTCGTCTATTTCCTGCTATAACCCCATAGTCGCCGCAGTATACACAGCCAAGGGCCAATTTGCAGGTGGAGATTTTTTTTCAGTTTGTAAACTGAGACACTTTAACTTTCATTTTTACCCTCCAGCTGCTGTGTGATTCTTGAATAGAAATGGTACTTTAGGAGGACGATGTTAATCCAAAAATGAGATTAAAACAATAGATTGCATGATAACATTCAGTACGGGCTTGAAAGACAAGTAGCCGGTTGATCAAAAAAAAAAACAGAGCTGTCTGACCTGTAGTGGTACTTGTCTGGGAAGGCCATGGGGTCGACAAAAGCTCTGTCCATGAACATGAGCTGGTCATTGATCCTGCGAATCCTCAGTGGCCTGAGAGAGGAAGATTTACAACAGCATCTTAGTTACTGATTGCAAGACGTTCACCCAAGAATTCAAGACAAGCTACACAGGAGATGTTGGAGAAATGTTTCTGCTTCCCCTAAAAAGACACTCAGAAGTCCATCTCAGAAGTTAAAAGAAGTATTTATACATGTGCATGGGAGTGAAACTCATAGAGATACTCGGTGCATTTTTCTCAAAGTGATTAATCGAGAACGGTCCTTTAATATTTTTCTATCACGCTTCCCTGTGCTCATCAGATTGGTAACATTCCATGAACACACCCATCTTCCTCTTCCCTATTTGCTAAAGAGAACTTCTTTTAATACAATTGGTTACTTAGTTTCGGCATTCCTATAAACACAGTATGGAATTACACAGTAGCCTTTGTGTCCAGCATTCTTCCATTCCAGTTCATACCAGCTCTGCATGTCCACCTTATAAAATATTGCAGCTTCAGCAGAAAAAGTGTGTGCAAAGTTCACAGAGACCCTCTCAACAGCCAGGAGGCAATCTGGCTTGTTTGGTAGTTAGCAGTATAACTGTTTATCATTGTCCTGCTGAAAGGTGAAATCTGTGCCTGGTTTTCGGTCTGCGGCATGTTTGCCTCAAAGATTTGCCAGCACTCTATGAGCCTATACAGTAAGTCTTGATAAGCTTTGCATTTCCTGCTGATGAGAAGCAGAACCATAATGTGCCTTCAGTTCCATGCAAGCTTCTTTTGTGGGGTTACTGGGACATTGTTGGGACATTTCCTCCCATCTCAGCTACTGAAGTAACTCTTTCAAAGTCGACATTGGCATGAAGGTGGCATTCATAACCAGTTTACTCCTTGACTGGCTGTTTTTGTTGATGGACTTCATCATGCTCAAGGTGACATGAAGGGTCTTTTGAAATCTTTTTGAACCCCTTCTCCTGACCTGTGCCTTTATACAACTTTATTTCTGAGTTGCTTTAAAGCTCCTTGGTCATCAGAGCTGAAACTATCCTTGTTAACTAGTTCACTAGCTGACTGAGCAACCTAACAGAGATGGGTATTTTAATTCTGAAATCGTGCAAATGACTATTAATGCACACAGACACAGGACAGTCAGCTAATTATGTCTCATTAAGGTAACTTTGTGTACATAAATTTACTACTGAAAAGGGTTTGAATACTTATGAAATCCTGACTTTTCCATTTTTTTTCAGGTTGTCTATTTACTACTTTCATTTTGCTTTTTGCTTTTGTTGTGTAGCATAGATTGTGTATACTGTATATAACAATTATTAATTGTTACTTCTGTCATGACTCTAGGTTTTAAAGCAACAGAATGAAAACTGTGTAAGTGTCTGAATAGTTTTGCAAGGTAGTGTACATATAATGAATCATTATGATGATACAAGTCCACAGTACTGATATTGAAAAGTAACGTATATTTGTATTTTTTAACCTATCACAATTACTTGCGAAAACTTCCATAAAACTAGAACACAGTTATGAGACTGGTTCTGTTTGCTACTCAGGTGCTATCAATCCACAAGGTGGCGCTTCGAAAATACTTGACTTTTCCACTAGAAAAAGAACTAAAACAAGGCATGTGACAGAAGGTAGTGGAGGAAAGCATCCCTTTTCCCTTACGTCTCCTTTGTGAGGTCAGTGTCCTGGATGAGTCTGCTCAGGCTGTTAGCAGCTGTGCGAAACTTTGCCACAGCAGTCTTCAGGGGCTCTGAAACGTAAGCATATCAATACACAGTGGGAATGATGTGACCGACACAACAGGCCAGGGCTGTCTCGGAAACCACACACGTCATAGTACTTTCCTTCTCTAGGCACCTGGAACAATTTTAAGGGGCGCCTTCATTCCTAGGGACTTCAAAAATGGTACTTACAGTAGCAAGACAAAATTCACAGGACTACAAGCCAGTCTGTCCTAAAGAGAACTTTGTCATTCAAAAGCTTTGACATGCTAGAAAAGCGTCTATACCATATGAAAGCAAAGGAAGATGTGCAGCATCACCAAGATATATAGGCATTTCAATACCAGGTCGGTTCAATAGACCTGCAGCATCAGCAAACACTAATCTTGGAACAGCTGTAATGCACAGTATATCAGGATTTTGTTCCACTTCCTCAGGTTATGGTGGTTGAGATATACTGTAGACAGTAGGTCTTTCAAATAAAGAGAGGAAATTAATTGACAAGTTTTCAGGATGAAACCTTGAAGGTCAAATAAAAAAAACAGTTTGCAAGTATTCTTTACAAATCACTGGATGTATCACTAAGGACAGCAATCATCCTGGTTTCTCACTTTTCTCCCCCCTTCCCTCTGGTAAGCGTTATAGGAGCATAAAGGCACAAACGTCCAGATTCAGAGACAGTTTCTTCCCAACAGCTGTCAGATTAGTGATATCTACCTTTGCTACTGGCTCACACTGATGTTTTTTTTTTTCTTACAGTGCTTGTCTGCCTTTTTTAAGTTATATTTAACTTGTTGCTGTTGCTGCTGCTATTCTGTGTTTGTTTTTGCCGATTCCTCTAATGTCTTTGTATTGGAGCACACATGCAAATAAGCATTTCATTGCACTTGTGCATCTGACAAATAAATTGAAGTGATTCAGCTCGCTCAGAAACAAGGAGTTTCAAACCTGAAACAGAGCAAACTGCCTCACAATCAAGGTCGTTCCCATTTCCCTGGTGTCCTGGAGCCTGCAGGGAAGGGAGTCAGGATTGATCCCTGTCCTTACCCATGGAGATGCCTTTTTCCATCAGCCTGGTGTTATAGCTATCCAAGGAGGTGTTGAGAAACTGTTCCAGGGTCTCGGCGTAATCGACAGCGTTGAAAGGGATGACCAGGCTGTCGGCCAAACGCAGCAGCACATTGCCCGCAGTCCGTGCCACTGTCTGGTGGCTGGTGAACCCTGTGAAAGTACAGTCATCACTCGTCCCGTCTGCTGCAGAGCTGGGCGGGAGACTTAACATTTTCGTTTCAAGTGCAGAAATAATTAAAGCCCCCGTTGCATTGTCATGATTGTCTTTGATAACAAAAAGGTAATCAATTCTACTGCTGAAGTCTGAATATTTTGTGACGTGATGGAGGCTGTAATGTCAAATCCAAGCGATGCAAGTCCTTTCAGCTAACATCTGTCCGGTGTGGTTCATTTACTGCAGGCGGCAAACTCTGAAAACCCATGGTCACATTCAAGGTAAAATGGATGATGATAATAAAAATAATTCCTTGCACTTATATAGTGTTTTTCTGGACACTCCATTCAAAGTGCTTTACAGGTAACGGGTACCACCAGTGTCTAGGCCCATGTGGATGATGTGACAGCAGCCATAGTGCACCAGTATGCTCCCCACACACCAGCTATCAGTGGGGAGGAGAATGGAGTGACAAAGCCATTTCAGAGAGAGGGATTATTAGGAGGCCATGATTGGGAAGGGCCAGGGTAGAATTTGGCCAGGACACCAGGGTAACACCCCTATTCTTTTCGAGAAACACCCTGATATTTTTCATGACCACAGAGAGTCAGGACCTCGGTTTTATGTCTCATCTGAAGGATGGCGCCTCTTTTTACAGTAGAATGTTGTCACTATACAGATGCATTTGCATTCGGATAAATTATATTAACAAATATGTTTTACAGAACAAGCAGTTATATTAGGCTATATTATGTTGTAAACAATACACTTTTCTGCTCCAGAATAGTAACATCAGACAGGATTCTGAGGCCTACAAATTCAATTTTGAAGAAAAACAGCTCTGTTTGACACCATCATTTCCTAATTATTTTGTGAAAACATCCAGAAAACAGTATTTGTGAATTAACATTGAGGAGATCTGGAGTAGTCTTGTTGGGCTATCTTGCAGTAGTACATACTGTATTTATCAACTCCGTTCTGCAACAGATGTACTGAATGTGCACTTTTACGCAATTTCAAAACAAGAGATCCTTCAGAACTTGATTAACAGCCTCCTACATTGGACATTTTAATCGGTTGTGGCCTGGCTGGGTAAAGGTGGATTATACTGCTTACCTGGGTCTATGTACCTGGCTGCATAGTCAAAGGTGTCATAGGCAGTGTGATACGCAGGGTAGATTCGTGCCTGTGTTTTGCTCTGCAAGAGAATGCAACACTCCAACATGACACACGAAGCACTATAAATACAATTTTACTTAACTGCCTCCATCTTTTCATTAAGATCATCGTTGGTATTCCAGCCGTTGACCGTTCTTTTCATTTGTTAGATGTTTGTCAGAAAACCCTAATCAAATGTATTATAAATAGAATTTACAGTGGAGAGCTGCATCTGGAACAAGTACAGATTACAGACTGAAAAGTATAAAGAAAAAAACAGTATGAGACTCTATTAATGGCACTCTTCTTTGGCTATTTGGAATTGCACACATTGTTTTTTTCTTTTTACTGTTCAGCTTTAAGTGGAACAAGCAGTTCAGGTGGGTAGCTGCGTCAGTATGTTCAGGCTGCAAGGGAACGAGTAATAGGTTTACTAACCTGTAAGTAACACAATGCACTGGGTGCCTTACCCTGTCATAGGTGTAAGCGATGTCCATGGAGGTGATGCCCAGGAAATGCATAAAGGCCGCGTAGTCACTCCCTGCTCCAGTTAGATACCCCAGACTGAGAGAAACAACAGAAGTGCTTTGCTGTAGCTACTGGGTTCTCATAAGGACAACAGCCAAAATGTGTGAAGCACTTACAGTGAAGAGAGGGACAGGTGCAGAGGATTGTTTGGAGTGGATTAAGGCTGCCTGAGCAATGGAGGAGATCAGCCACTGAGGACTCAGTGGTATCCTACCCAAAAAAATATTTTTCTCTTTTACTCTACTACTGTTCTTAATTTCATAAGAACGAGAGAGGAGAATGATTCGGTTAATGGCTTTCTTTAAAATCATTCCCACCACCTTTTACCACTCCATGGAAGTCCGTTGTTGTATTTTCCAAGAATGCTTGTGATTTGGGTGGAGTGAGAGAATGTATCACCAGGTGGAATGTGATAAGAACACATTTCAGTCCCAGAATGCCTCAGTGAAAGTGAGGCCGCTTTCCTCAGTCCTAATCGAGAAGGCCAATCCATTTGAGATTTGGCCTTTTCCTTCTATGAAGTTCAGTTCATATGGTGGCACTACACGCGAGGGGCGTGTTCAGTGTGGAGGCGGAGCCCTGGAGGAAGACTTTATAGTCTTTATCGCTAAATAGGGTAAGTCCAGTCTGGGAGAGCAGGCAGGGAGCGCAAGGCCAAAAATAAAAACTATAATTGTGAAAAAAGGTAAGCCTGCCCCGTTATAGAGACAGGACGGGACAGGCTTACCTTTTTTCACAATTATAGTTTTTATTTTTGGCCTTGCGCTCCCTGCCTGCTCTCCCAGACTGGACTTACCCTATTTAGCGATAAAGACTATAAAGTATTTTTAATAAAAGAAAAATGAAAAAGAATAGAATTACAACGGCCTCATGCTTGGGACTGCCGGTGTAAAGATCCTTCCCTTCTGGGGTTCTGCCCTGCCTGTCCTCTTTGAGGGGGGCTCAGTGTGTCTTTAAAGAGCTCTCACAGCCGCAGCTCATCTTCGATTAGCGCGTGCAGCTGTGATTACCAAGGCGAGGCCCCGCCCCTTCTGCAGGGCTCCGCCTCCACACTGGACACGCCCCCTTCAGTGGTAGTGCCACAGTATGCATCCAAAGACAAGTTAGAAATGACCTCTGAAAGTAAAAGTTGGAGATGTTCAGTGCAGTTACAGATATACTGTATAGCTGCCTGAAGGTGTATTTCAATGATAATGTGTGGTTATAGGATTTCTAGCAACTACCAAAATGATGATAAAATAAAGGCCATCAGAACTGCTAAACAGAAGAATGAAGGTACACACTTGGGGATGATGCCATAGGCAGGGCTGCTTCTGTTGAAATACTGAATCCAGTTGTCATAAACAGAGGTAGACGGAGATCCAGGAGTTTTCACCTAAACACACAAAAACAACCTCCATGATGACAACATTCGGACTTACTATACAATAGTAAAAGAGTGAGTATATATTTAAAAAATACTTACCTTTTCTGGTCAATACTTTATAAAATCTTATTTATCCTTCCCAATGTTTAGGAATAAAAATGGTGCGAGTACACACCACACCAATGTTATATATATATTATTCTAGTACAGTCATGTCTCAGTTTGTAAACTGAAATGTAAAATGTTTCTTCCTATTTCAAAGGGTTAATGTATTATTGTGTGCTAGGGGCCTTTATACAATACCTCTGAATTAGTATCCTTTATCTTAGAAAAGGTTCACCCTTTTCAGCCACCGCAGGAATTAGTGTATCTGAAGTACAGTATGACTAAGGGGGAATTGAGGCATTTGTACAGCACCAGTGATATCTAAATAGATAACAGCCTGGTTTAAGAAGAAACCAGATGGTTGGACTAATTACCAGGCCGGGAATTTCTAGGAAATGACCAATATCTCACATGCTCATTTAAAGTGAGTTACAGTCTACAACTCATCTCTCCTTTTTACTAATCAAAACCTGGAAGGTATTGAGTGCTGAAAGAAATCAAAGTAAAGTTTGATAAAGGACTTCAGTTCTTTTGTCAGTGGGACTATTTGTTGTCTTTTTAATCCACTAGGCAAGTCAACACTTGTCTCTATGGTGGTCTTTAACAAAACAAGTAAATAGGAGACAAAAGTCTTCTATTTACTGCATTATCGGTTTAGGGGGCAGGAACTGTGAAGGGTTATTTTATGGATGAAAGCAGTCCGACTTATTTGTGGTATTCTAGCTCTGTGTTGGGGATTGGCTATGACCTTTGACTTACTTATATTAAACATTTAGAGTATTTCCAACCTTACTGATGAATAGACACTGAACCACAGTGTATTAAACCTTCAAAACAACTGGGATGACATCAGTATACTGTATTTTAAGATATGGTGGAAATTGTGTGGAGAAGAAAAAAGGCTGCAGAAAAGGAAATGATTAGAAAAACGCAAAAAAAAATGAGTAACAGAGCGCCTGAGTGAAGCAGCTTCCATCCCAAAGGCTGTGGAGTTAAAGCAACTCCCCATGAAAATGTCCTCCTGAGAAAACATCTCTAACCACAGACATACTGATGGCAGATCCCAAGAGGCAGTGCAGGATTCAGTGAGCACCCCTGCGGCTGGTCTGGGGCTTCTGGGCTCCCCACACTCCCACTTGTACTTGTTGAAAAGAAATACAGAGTTCACTGGTGCACGAGGACGCATTTTTTTTATAATCTCACTTGCGGCTGCAGAAGAGGGGGGACTTTATTCAAAGTTGGCCATCACAAAATGGTGCTGGAGAAAGTGCTGTGCAACACAGTTTGTGTCAAGAGGTCTCCCTGTCCTGTGTGCAAGTGCCTCACCTGTTTGGTGGCAGTGAACACAACACTCTGTGCAGCAGGAGAGCCCTGGACCCTCAGGGTGGCATTAGCTGTGATTCACAAGCACAGGGAATCAAGGGAGACAGGGAGAACACAGGAATGGTTCAATCCAGAGAAGTGGACCTGCATTAGGGCTGCTGTGAATTCATGGCATTCTCAGAAAAAAAGGCTCCACACTCTTCTTTCTAATGGTTCAAATGTTAAGTTTAGGATTTTCCTCTTTTTTTAAGACTATGATATTCCAAAACAAGAAGGGAAAATTAAATGTGTTGCTGTTAAAACTTCTCATCTGGCCAAGAGTTAATAACTGAATTTACAGTACCTCAGGTTTTACACTCCAGGGTAATTGTATAATTTCATTTCTATATCGATATCTCTCATCTCATCTACAGAGAGAGAGTAACAAATATATACATATGATTTGATTGGCATTAAGTATTTGTATTCCTAAAGTTAAGGTACAGTTCTTTTGTTTCTGAGAGTTGGGAATGATTTGCGATATTGGAGATGAGAGATTCCTTCTCACCAAATACTGAGATGTCAACATTAATGTAAGCGACCGCCCGATCCCTCAGCTTGCTGTAATATTCCTGCAGGGGAGAAGACAAGACTGGGACTGAGCTGAGCACTAGGCTGCAAACCACAAATATCAGTGATGCTCGGTATTTAATTTTTAAATACAACAGTCACAGGAACTCTGTATAACTCTTTATAAAGTTGCTTATCTGTGTTTTTGAATGTCTTTAATTGCATATTTTCTAATTACTGTATGTCACACTACTGGAAAAAATCTCAGCGCCTTCAGCGTCTTTCTATAAGGTCAAATAAGGCATAATTAAATCAATGCAAAGCTTTTTTAGATGGTAATGAAGTGTAATCTCCCTTGGAATGTGGCTTCTCATTACCACAAATAATGTAAGCAGCTTCCAACGTATTCTGAAACTTTCCAAAGATGTAACAGTGTCACCTGGCAGTCTGCTCAAGGGATGCCGTCAGTACCTCTGTGTATTCGGTTGAGCCGATCAGGCCAAACTCTTCTGCTCCCCAGCTCCCGAAGATGATGGACCTGCGCGGCCTCCACCTCCCTGCAACACAGACACTTCAGTGACGAGGGAGTGTCCCCGCCAGTGCCGGATTTCCCATGAGGCACTGGAGGCGCAGTGGGCCTAGGGGCCTACAAACCTTTTCGGGCCTACGAAGGAGGGAAACACTAGTGACTCATGAAAAAACGAGCTGAAACAACACACTTGCGATCGACTCTTGGTGCTCTAGATCAGTCATCACACGCTCTCTAGCGGCTGTTCTAGAAACGAGAAGTTGCGAAGTGATGGTCACTCGACTCGCTCCATCAATCCCGTGGTTTAGCATGAGAATAGTTTAAAGTGCATCATGTCAATCGACGTCATTCGATTGGCGTTTACCCCTCTCTCTGCACATTTCAGAGCGAAGGTGCCTAGGGCCTACGAACACCAGCCCTGGTCCCTGCTCCTGAGTGGCAGTGGGAGGGGTGGAGAAAGTGGGGTTTCCAGACCGGGTTTCCACTCCTACCACCCCAGTTCCACAGGCTCCTGCTCCGTGAGGCAGCCCTTACTGTTAAGTGTGAATAACCACAGAAACTGTAAACTGCTCAAGTAAAATTTAGACTACATCACCTTATAAACCTTAAGACGGCTATCGTTGTCCTCTTCCAAGTGTACAATAAATGAATTGCAGCAAAAAGATTTTGTAGTTTATTTCCTTCTCTCTTGAGGGTGTAACAGTGAGGTACTGTTGTCGTCAACGTTAACCTAGAAGATTTCAGTGTGGAATTAAACCCGGACAGACCCATGCCAGGCAATCAGAGAGGAAGAGTATGGGCGTAATGGAGGACAGACTGACAAGTCTAAATGTCTGGGGAAGTGGTAGACAGCACTTAAGACATTGCGGGGGTTTGGATAAGACGTCTTTTAAACAGAGACTGATACAGCACACATAGAAAATATAGTTTTACAGTTTTCGTCTTCTGTTTAAGGAAAGAGATCTTTAACCCGCCATGTGTTCCGTCATTATAAGATGAGAACCCTCAAAGTAACAGAATCGTGACCTTCTTAATAATGTTTCTTTATTAGCCCTATACAATTTCTTGCATTAGGAATTTGTCTTTTTTCGCATACCCCAGCTTTTCTCCATGGAGACACAGACAGGGAGAGAGAAGCTTGGGGTCAGAGCGCAGGGTCAGCCATTGTACGGCACCCCTGGAGCAGTTGGGGTTAAGGGCCTAGCTCAGGGGCCCAACGGAGTAGGATTCCTCTGCCGGCCGCGGGATTTGAACCGGCAACCTTCCAGTCACAGGTGCAGATCCTTAGCCACAGAGCCACC